GTGAAGCAGGCAGGTCGCGCTAGAAAATTTCATTTAAAAAGACGTCATAATGTGTTCCCCCGCCATTTTAATTTATAAAATATGAAGTAAAAACTCACAATTTAATTTTCATTCATTTGTCATTAATATTTAGTCTACACCCGTGCGGTAAGTGGACCATCTTCCAGTAAAAGCAAAGCATCCAGTCCACCTCTCCAAATGCGTAAAATGTGCATCAGCCGCTAGTTAGGCGCACCGCGCGCACCATCAGCTACGTCAGCCCAGACAAGAGCAGAGCAAATAGAGAAAGAATAGAGGATAATTCCATCTGGATGTGGATGGAGATTACATTTTACATCAGTCTGATCATCATTTAAATACGTAAACCATCACCTGTCTTCTAGTCCATGCTATCAGCATTATTTTAATTGGTGTGTGTGTGTGTGTGTGTGTGTGTGTGTGTGTGTGTGTGTGTGTGTGTGTGTGTGTGTGTGTGTGTGTGTTTTCCACTTCAAACACTGGTCTAACCAACCAGACCAGCGTGTCCAGTAACATATTAATGTTACAATTAAACAGTTTCACTTCATGTAGACTAGGAACATTTCACCTGCCGTGGCCTGACCGCTTCTGCTCCACATAAACTTTGTGCGTGATCAAATGTCTCTACAGGTGCTTTCTGAGCTGAAGAGCTATTCTGCCTCAGACTGGATGCGTCATGCGTCTCCATATTAGAGACGGGAACAAGCGCTGTTCAGCCAAAGTTTCATAATTTCATAAAAAGAAAATGTTTCCAAGTGACACATCCCTCAGAGAGACCGGGTTTCCAGACCGCTTCAGTGGGAGGAAATCTTACCGCATGCGCCGTGGTTCTGCGCTGCGCTGCAAACCCCTCTACAGATCTTCAGCCCACTGTCCACCGTGGGCGCTCCGAGCCGCGCTGAACACAGTGTCCAGTATAAAGCTCTGATGTTCTGATAGGAATCATTTCTTGATGGATTTAGTTACCTCCGCGATGTGCGTAACGATTAACGCAGCTCATCTGTGTGTGCATCAGTGCGCGTCGGGGTAATTCTTTCAAAACAACCAACATCCTTGAGTTTATCCGTCAAAATAAAAGTCAAATGTAAATATCTGTAACCTGCCATTTAACTGTTTTGCCTTCCTGTGAAGATTGTTGCAAAGAGAAACAATTAAACTTGATTAACCCCAGTGCCATATAAGCTGTACTTCGTGACTGTAAATGAGGGGGAAACGATTTAATCAGATCCTTTTCTTTTCAACATGGTTTAATTTAGTTTCATTCAGTAGTTGCACCAATCTAACGAGACAGAGCCTGGATTTGTATTCTGAACAGTTTAAACTGGGGAAGGTCAGAAAAGGATCCGATCATTTTGTTTTTCCCTCATTTACAGTGACGGAGATAACGGTGCAGTGCGCCTGGCTCTGGTGTTAATCAAGTTTAATTTTATCTCTTTGCAACAATTTTCACAAGAAAACAGAACAGTTAAAAGGAGGGCTTGTGTTGACGGGATAGTTCCCGTTTTGGCCGTTTGACCGTTTATTTTGACGGAGAAAGAATAGAAAGAATTACCCCGACGCATGCAGACGAACTGACATTTTATTCCACTTAAATCGCAGATGTAGCTAAATCACTCAAGAAAAGATTCCCATCTGAACATCTGAGCTGGACATTGCTCAGCGCAGCTCACTGTCAGCGTGCACTACATAAGGTCCACAGCGAGCTGAAGATGTGGAGAGGGGCTTGGAGCGCCTCGCAGAACCAGAGCGCATGCGGGAAGATTCCTCCGACTGAAGCGAGACTTGTCACTTAGAAAATGTTCCCTGATTATGAAACATTGGCTGAATAGTGCTTGTTCCTGTCTCCAATGTGGCGACACATCCAGGAGCCGTCTGAGGAGAATCCCAGAATCTCACATCCCCTTCAGCTCAGAAGCGCCTATGATTACGCACAAGCGTGACCCGTCAACCCGGTCTCACAGTACGACCGGGTTGGAACTGTTCAGGTTTACGCAGACAATCTTTACATTTAGAATTGGCATACAGATGTAAAATTAATGCAGTAAAATATAAAGCATTTTATTTAAATATCCATTCATTATTTTACAAGCACAGAGAGCCGCATCAGATGGATGGAGGAGCCGCATGCGGCTCCAGAGCCGCGGGTTGCCGACCCCTGTGCTAGCCTACTTCATTGTCCCCAGCAATTTTTAAACCCCACTCAAGTGTATGGTTATTGTCCCCAGCAATTCTGAAAACAAACTGACGCCCTTGGACTCAGTGGATCCTGAGGAAGGTGGAATAGGTAGGGAGTGCTGAATAAGGAGAGGGTGATGAAGGTCACACAAAAGCCAGCCTGAACAGGTGAGTTTTCAGCTAAACTCACCTGTTCAGGCTGGCTTTGGTGTGACCTTCATCACCCTCTCCTTATTCAGCACTCCCTACCTGTTCCACTTTCCTCAGGATCTACTGATTTCCCTCTTTCCTGTTCACTCGATCTTTCTTTACATTTTAATGACAATTGTCTATTTTTTGCTCATTTGAAATATATTTGTATTAATTTTCTAAATTCTTTTTTATATTTTACATTTTTCGTTTTAGTGAAGCGCCTCGTGACTTTTATCTTGAGAGGCACTTTTACAAAAGATCTTTTCTTCTTCTTCTTATATATATATATATATATATATATATATATATATATATATACACACACACACACACACACACACACACACTCCCATGGAGCGTGGTTGGGCATAGCCCGTAGAGGAGACATGGGTTCCATCTCTCATTGGCTTACCACTTGTGGGAGGGGCCAAATGGGTCAGGTGCAGTGTGAGATGGGTGGTAGCCAAAGGCGAGGATCTTGGCAGCGTGGGCAATGACAGTGAGGCCTGGAAAGATGTAGTTGGGAGGAATGGCTCTCTTGATCTAAATCTGAGTGGGTTTTTTTTATTGGACTTCTGTGCTTGTCATCCATCCATGATGAACACCATGTTCAGGCACAGGTGCTCTTGGCACCAGGATACCTTAGGCAGCAGCTCAATGGTCGTTTTTATTGTTATTTCATCTGATCTGAAGAGAAAGGTGGAACTGTCAACCAACGGCTACCTGGTGGTGAGTTGGCTTCAATGGTGGGGGAGGATGCCGGTCAAACCTGGCAGACGCAAACATGTTCTGGGAACATCTGACAGAGTCTCTTGTCAATTCCCTCCTCCGTCAGGAATTCGAAGGCTTCCCAAAGGAGGCTGGGAACATTAAGTCTGAGTGGGCCATTGTCAAGGCCGCAGAGTGGTAGGTGCCTGTCATGGTGGCAATACCTGAACCTGCTGGTGGATACTGGCGGTTAGGGACGTTGTCAAGCTGAAGGAAGAGTCTTGTTGAGTCTTTTTGGCCTGTGGGACTCTGAAGGCAGCTGATGGGTGCCGGCAGTCCACGCGGATTGTGGCTCAGATGGTCACAGGGGCAATACTTTGGGCTCGGCCGGAGTTTGGTGGACAATGGAACAAGGCTTCCATACCACTGTGAGGAGATTATGGTCCATCATCTGGCATCTCAGGAGGGGAAAGCAGTGTAGCAACATTGTTTACAGTAGAGATGGTGTGCTGCTGACTGCAACTCAGGATATTGTGGATCAGTGGGTGAAGTACTTTGACAACCTCCTCAATCCCACCGGCATGTCTTCTAGTGAGGAAGCAGTTTGGAGATCTTGGGTTGGGCACTGAGGCAGTCAAAAACTCCTCAATCCGTTGGCATGTCCAACCGAGAGGAGACCCAAAGGAAGACCCAGGACATGCTGGAGGGACTATGGTTCTTGGCTGGCCTGGGAACACCTAGGGATTCCCCCTGAAGAGCTGGTCCAAGTGGCTGGAGAGAGGGAAGTCTGGGCCTCTAAACTAAAGAGAATGGATGGATGGATGGATGGATGGATGGATGGATGGATGGATGGATGGATGGATGGATGGATGGATGGATCTCCCTTCACATGAAGGAGGGCGGTGTCCTAGCACCCCCTATGGATGAGCCGACACTGACCTGACCCCAAAGTTCATCTCAACGACAGCCAGTCCTCTGAATTCTCATCTGAATCCAATTCAGCGTAAAAATGATTTCATCACAGAAGAAGATTAATGGCTGTTTTTTCTGATGCAGTCCTGTTTAATATGATGCATGCTTTTATATTTACACTAGATTTTATGACGTGATCTGATCAAATGTGAGCTCAGGTCAGTTGTCCTCAGTTGCTATGTACTGAAGCCCAAACAAAGTCTGTTATTATTCTTGCAAAAAGGATATCTCATTCTCAAGATGATGTAAGGAAGCAGGCATTTTTTCTAATTACAAGAGTTTCCTGTCAGTGGAAACACGAACCCATGTTTCATCCATTATGACAGATTTTTTTGTTTTGTTTGTATAAATAGTCAACAATTAAATCTAAACAGATGGAGAGCTGACCTAAATCAGACCCATGGGGTGAAACGAAGCAGCAGTGCGTCTTTGAAAAACATTAATATGAAGTCATACTTTGAAAAACTGCAGTAAATATTAAAAACCAGGGAGCACCAGGTGTTTGCCAGAGGTGTTTATGTGCAAATGGTCTTTTATCAATTAGATGATGGCAGTGTGGCTGTGGAGTGGTGAGTGAGCTCACCGGGGTACGGGCCATGTTGAAATTTCATTTCCCTTCTGAGCATCCTGACATATGTCGTCCTGTTATAAGCTTTATTTTTTCTCCTTCCTATTTACGTGCAAGTTCTTTGTCCCGCCAAACCTCAGGAAATGTGCTTCAGGTTTCTCCTGCATTAGGAAAATGTTAGTTACTTTTCCACCATCCTTTGAAAACAATGGGATTTAAACCTGAACCCTTTTAGTGGGTACTGTAATGAAGCTTTGGGGGCTTTTGCCTTTCTTTTCTTTTTTTATTTTAGTGTGAAAATGGAAAAAAAAAAGACGGAACTTTAAAGACAAACAGAGCAAATCTTTGTTGGTGGCTCTCTACACACCCGGCTGTCCTCTTGAGCTTCCCACTCCGGAGTAAAGCTGTGGACTTGAGTTCCAGGTGTGCAGTTGGAAAACTGGAAGAGGCTTGCAAACATACGGTGGTTCTCTGCCGTGTCGGGGAAGATGGGATCCTGGAAGTTAACTCCATGTGGAACAATATTGTAGTTCTCATCCATCCTGCATGGCAGAAGGAAGACAAATTCTCTTAAGCAGGGAGCAAAATTGAAAAACTCTTACATGTGTGAAAACAAAGCCAGATGTAAACACACTTAATATAAGATTTATGTGCCGTTTAATTGTAATCAAGATTGGGTTAAAATGGAAGGAAACGACCCTGCTTATCACTATCTAATAAACTGATTTATTTTGATATTAATGTGAAAATCAAAGCAGCGTGTCATCTGCAAACTGTGATTTATGAGAAACAAAGATATCTGCATATTGTTGGTAGACTTCAATCTAATGTAATAAAAGTCCACATGAATGACTCAGAACAACACGTTACAGGCCAAAGGGATTTATGGAGAGTGTTTCAAATCTTCAGAAAGTTGTGTGGCATACATCTGGATTCCATTTCAAACCCCACAACAGACATCTAAAGCCCCCCTGTCCCCATCAAAGGCTGTGTGTATGTGTGTGCTAGAGGAGAGTTCATGATAATGTCAAAGGTTAGATGTAATCACAGTACATAGAGATGTGGATTTAGAGGAACTTGTTCAAACACTACACCAGCAGAAAAGGGATTAAAACATATGAATTACACAATCAGATCTAACACAAAGGAGTTCAGTAATCTTTATTCAGTCCCATTCAAATTATGGGGTTGCTCATCTGTGACAAAGAAATAAAATTTCAAAAACAAGGGAAACATAAGATAAAGATTTAACAACTAACTTTATTTTTTATTTTTTTACGTAGAGCACACTGAATCTTATTTATGAGACCTGAGGCAGATCCCTAGATGCTTTTGTTTTTCTATGTTCAGATTCCTGTCCAGAGAGATTGTATTCATGATTGATTGGTGGAACTATTTTTGGTCTGAAAAGATGTTGTAGGGAGAGGAAATAAATGCTGTCTGGAGAGTGTGGAGTTTGACCTAGTGGACCCTCTGGGAGTTGGGTGTTGCTTAACGGCTCCAAGAGCACTGAAACTACTGGTGGAGGATTACAGTTGGACTCGGAAATTGAGTTCCAAGTTAGAAAAACCAGCAGGACTTTTTTTCCAGATTTGAAGGTCTCACTCAAAATTCTGAGATTCCTGACAAACACTTTCTTTAAAATTCAATACGGCTGCCTTTTGCATGAAAAGATGGGGCTGCCGCAGTGACCCCTATTTCACACTGGAAGCATCAGAGACGCGGAACGTCAGCTGAATGTCAATGCTTCAAATAGAATTCCATATAGTCTATGGGGGTGTGTCAAACCAGCAGCGATGCGGCCATTTTCAGACGCGTCCCAGAAGTGGTACGACGCGCTGTCCCGATAGTGTATTTACTAATGTATTTATATGTTTCAGAGACTTTATAACATTTGTCCTTCATTCTCTAACCTCTTCATGTGGTCACCACCTCTAAACCCACGTTTCCCGTAATTTCCACGTTTGCTCTGCATTTTCTACTCCTTCAGTCACGGGTAAATAAACGGTCCTATTTTCCGACTTTTCCACTTATGTTAGGTCAAGTTGCTACAAATTTGAAGAACCACTGGCCAAGACGGAAGAGAAAAACTGAATAAACTGCATGACTTATGACCGCTGATGTCTTTAGGTCCGTTTTAGGGGGGCTTCAGCCCCCCTAAAATGATCACAAGCCCTCCTATCATTTTGAGTTTTTTTAGGGCTGGGACTTTAACGCGTTAATTATGATTAATTCCTGGCATTTCGAGCATGGCGGAACCTTTGTCATTGCACGACTTCCTCGTAGACAGAATATCACTGACGCACACAACAATGCACAGTGCTAATGGCTACTAAAACGAAATAAAAACGGAAAGAAGTTGCCTTGCTTGGACTGATGCAGGATTTAGGAAACCCATCCGCCTCTTTTCTTAACTTGAAAAAAACGAACTTCCAGACAACAACGGAGTCCGTGTCGCGGACATTTTTCAGAGATCGTCTCTGCTTCGGCTGCCCGGTGGCACTGGAAACTTTACAAAAGTTGCGGTAAGCTATATTTTTAACATTTACGTAACATCTGTGCAGCGCTGAAAGCACCAGATAGAATAATTCTGTGCCCTAACAGTAGTTTATGAAAGTAGTCAGACAAACGAGGCACCTGGCTGCCGCTGGGAGAATGCTCCGTGATCTCACTACTCTGTAAACAATCACAAACAACGTGTCTTAAAGTTGAAAACGGAAGTTTAAGTTAAAAGAAAAACACTGAAACTTTTCTGATGATTTTCTAAACAATTCTTTCGGGGAGTTATACGTTTCTGAGACAAGTCACTGTCTAAACATCACATGCATTACTATCATTAAGCAGCGAGGTGTGTTGAAGCTGTCATCAGCTAGGGGCGGAGGATCCTTAAGTGCATCAGGGGCAGCGAGGAACGAGAAAGTTGTGATCAGGCTGGTGATCACACCAGATTCGCTGCTGCAGGCGTGAATCTGCGGGTCTGCAGCATCCCCTTCTTAACGTGACATCAGGACTTCCCATGTAAGGAAGGTCCGCTCACCTGTTCGTCACATCATTATTTCCTCGCCATGATCTTTTATCATCCCATCAACCTCCAGTAATCCAGCTGGAACCAGTTAGTGTTCCTGATCATTCTCAGAATATGCCACGCCTGCTCTGGTGTTAAAAGTTAGTACATTTAAGTCCTAGATCATATTTGTGCCTGTTCTACTGTCATTTTGAAGGATTATTATTTATGTGCTTTTACTACATTATGAGTAGAAATGCTAATAAAAACTCCCAATTATACAAACAAGTGAAACTGGAAAAATTTGAATCTGGAAAAATTAGAATCTGGTGCAAAGTCAAATTGATTTCAGTCATTCATCTAGACAGAGAGACTATTTAAAGGCTCAGGAACCCTTTGCAGGCGTTTTCTATTTGTAATTATAAATTTTAGTTGATTTGGGTCTTGTTTCATATCACACAGTGACATTTGATTAATTAAAATGCATTTTTTATTAAAAGCTTTAGTTTTACAGTAATAACTATGTCTAATGTTTAAATCTCTGTCTCATAATTTTAATTAAGTTTTGCTTTGAGTGCACATTTCCCTGAACAATTAAAATGCAATTAATTTAGATTAATTAATTACAAAGCCTCTAATTAATTCGATTAAAATTTTTAATCAAGTCCCAGCCCTAATTTTTATATATACTGTTATTTTGTCTTGTAATTGTTAATTACATACTCCTTTATTCCATATCTTAGCAGAGTTATTCATATATTAAAACTGTCAACTGCACACTCATTTGGCAGAATAAAAGTTTGACAATTATTCATTTGTTCTTTGTCATATTTCAGTTACATTTATAAGTAAGCAAGTTGTAATTAAACAAATTAAACAAATGACTGCAACATTTCCCCCTGTTAAGTGCAGTAGACTGAAATGAATAGCTTTATTTGGAAATATAACATATCTAATTTTTAATGGACTTATATAAAATCTTTCTTCAACATTGACCCCACTAATGAACTGATTAAGTGTTATTTTTTTATAAAAAGAAGAGAGAAAATGCACAAAGGTAGGAAAGGAAAAGAAAGTGATAAAATAATAGGTTTTGTTAAATGTTCTTCATATAATGAATTAATTGACAAAGTTTTTGCAGGGTGTGACAAAAAATGTTCAAGGTCAAGCTCCTGGGGCTAAGCCCCCCCATCTCTCAATCCTAGTGACGTCCATGCTTACGACCAAAAAAGGGCTGAATCCTTATTTGAAGGTGCAACTGGGGTCACGAGTGTCATTCTAGGACAGCTACTGCAGCTGTACCAGAAAAAACAACCTTATAATGAGTATTTTCTGTTGACTTTAAGTTTAGAAATCTTATTAAGAAAAATAAGTTAAGCACAAAGCACGTTTATTTTATGCAAACCCGGACTTTAATAAAGGCTTTTCATCATCAGAGTGATTAATGCAAAGTATTTGGCTCAAGTTAAAACTTAAATAAATAAAAATATAATGGACACGTGCTTGCACCTTAGAAAGAAGTAGTAGTTGTTGTTTTTGGTGACGCTGTAGGAGAAGCAGGGTAAGTAGCCCAGACCGCTGACATTGAACCTGGAGCCGGCGGGGACCTCCAGCATGCTGCCCCACGCCTGATCGCACAGCAGCTCGATCTCGGCAGAGAAGAGCAGGTCGTTGTCGTGCTCCCACGGCAGGTAGTTGTACACACTGTAGGACTCCTTGTGCAGCGCCAACACTTTGGCAAAAACGATGATCTCCGCAAGCTCGGCACGGCATGCTTCAGTCTGTGGTCTCCAGTCTTGGGGTAGTTGACATCCCCAGCTCCCACCGGGACGGGCAGCTGCCAAAACAAACGCCAAAATAATCCACATGGTGTGAGTGACACAGAGACGTGCGAAGAGCGCGGCGCGCACCAAGGCGCACAGAGATGGATAAAGTGAGCCGTCGTTCGTTTGTCCGTGGTCAAGTGAGCCGCACCTACAATTGAAGTGCACGTTTACATGGTACTTTACGGTAACACCGTCTCGCTGCTGGAGAAGAACTGAGATGAGCGACAGAATGGGCTGAAATCACGATGACAGAGCTGCTAAATGTGCCTTTTTGATACACACATACTAAGTACCTCGACTACTACCTGGTACCAAAGTATGAACTACTTTTACTGTGTACTTTTTCGGTTATTGTACTTCAAATTACGTGCAAAAAGCTCAACGTGCCATGTTTGAGATAGGATAAAACAGTATTTGGGAAAAAGAACACTAGGCCACCTATGCATGCATACTAAGTACCTCGAGTACTACCTGGTACCAAAGTATGAACTACTTTTACTGTGTGCTTTTTCAGTAATTGTACTACAAAGTACGTACAAAAAGCCAAATGTGCCGAGTTTGAGATAGGATAAAATGGCCTTTTGGAAAAAGGCCACCAGGCCACCTATACATGCATACTAAGTACCTCTAGTACTACCTGGTACCAAAGTATGAACTACTTTTACTATGTACTTTTCAGTAATTGTACTTCAAAGTATGTCCAAAAAGCTAACGTGCCGTGTTTGAGATGGGATAAAATTGCATTTTGGAAAAAGGACAAGAAGTACTTAAAAAGTACACAGTAAAAGTAGTTCATACTTTGGTACCAGGTAGTACTCGAGGTACTTAGTACGTGTGTATAGGTAGCCTAGTGTCCTTTTTCCCAAATACCATTTTATTCCATCTCAAACGCAGCACTTTTATCTTTTTGGATTTACTTTGAAGGAAAAATACTGAAAAAGTACACAGTAAAAGTAGTTCATACTTTGGTGCCAGGTAGTAGTCGAGGTACTTAGTATGTGTGTATCAAAAAGGCACATTTAGCAGCTCTGTCATCGTGATTTCAGCCCATTCTGTCGCTCATCTCAGTTCTCCAGCAGCGAGACGGTGTTACCGAAAAGTACCATATAAATGCGCACTTCAATTGTAGGTGCAGCTCACTTGACCACAGACAAACGGACGACGGCTCACTCGACCGCAGCTACAAACTGACTTGTGCAGAAATATTCTGCAGCGTTTGCCTAATTAAGTATTTTTACAGGGTAACAAAACGTTCGGATAGCTGCTGCCCTGCAATCCCTGTCCAACCTCAGCTCCGGTCTGATCACCACAGCATCCCTCTGCAAAAAAAAAAAAAAAAAAAAGTGACTCACCAAGCCCGGAAAAGCTGAGCGTTTGGAATTGAATACAATGATTCCGTTTCCTGCATTGGTGCACACATTTAATTTTGTATAAAACTGTAACATCTGTGTTTTATTTAGTTTAAAAACAGCTGGGAGAATTTAAAACAGCGAGTAATGAAAGTCGCATAAACCTCTTCAGCGCCCTCTAGTGACGGCCTTTAAATTATGCACGTAGAGCGTAAACTTTGGCCACGTCACGTGATGTAGCGGCAATTCAAAGGCACGACAGAACGCAGACGCTGTAAAAAATTTGACAAAGGAATTCCATTGCTGCGCCTGCTCACTAGCCTGGCAAGCCAGACTAAATAAATGTATTATTTGAAGCAAAGCAAGAATTTGGTCTAGTTCACTAGGCTACCTGCTCACAGCTTTAAACTTTGATGACGTCACAGGTAACTGTAAATGACATCACCTATAGGGTCTACTCCACAGACTTACAGAAAGAGCCATTCAGACATCTCTCATCAGCAGAGTTTAACTAACATGCATTCACGCTCAGCAGAAATCGAACTGCTGAAGGAAGAACTTAAAAACTGTTGAGAAAACGAGCAGAAATGGAAAGAAAAGTTTGAAAGACTTTCAGCAGATGAGGCCCACTGTCAACACATATACAGTCAAAAGCTATAGATTAACAAACTAACAGAAAGACTCAGTTTATGTGAAGAATATTTAGATGAGACTAAAGAACAGCAAAAGAAAAACATAGCAGAGCTTGAAGAGGTACTATTGGAAATGGAAAACACATTCAAGAAAAAAAAATGAAAATAGGTTCCTAAGACAACAGTTACAGACAATGGACAAAGAGGAATGCTCTCACTCAGAGACAAAGGAGAAACTCTGTGCTGAACTGGTTTTTCTCAGATCAGATTTAGAAAAAAAATACAGTGAATGAAAATTTCAAAGAAAGTGAATATAACTTGAGTCAGAGAGTTGAAAGCCTCATAAATTATTTAGGTTATGCTGAAAAGCAGATCAGCAAACATGCTGAAATTATTAAAAGCCTTCGCTGTGAGTTAGAAGATGCCAACAAACAAATATTGCTCAAAGATTTGGAAATTTCACATCTTAAAAAATATGAGAGGGCCAGTTCACCCGCAGGCAAACTAACCCTCAGTGAATCTGTAGCTCTGAGTGAAAACTGTGATCAGATGTGCAAAATCCCAGAATGTCTCAGAAAGGCTAATACTAAGGACAAGCGAACACAGACTTCCTTTTCTAAAGCCCTGCCAGCTAAAACTAACACGTCTAGTTGGGGGGATTTCTGCAAGTCAGGTCTGGTACTTGCAGCTAAAAATATCGTCAGAGGTTTTGTCGAACAGGCATCTAAAGAGGTGATTTGTTACTTGCTATCCAGTGGTGAACTGATTGCTTATCCTTTGTAAAGAATGTAGACCAGAGTGTCCAATATGTGTATGGCCCTAGCCTAGAAATCTAGACAGACGAGCAAAAGCTGAAGGATTTTACTCTGCTGGTTGGTCTAGCCACGCTCCATCGGAGCCTTTCTCCAATCACAGCGTTCTATCAGTTTGTGGGCGGGATTAGCACCCGAGCTGTGACAGCAATGATAATGGTAGGTTGTTTTAAACTTTGGCATTCACTTTTTAGACTCTTTTAGGAACAGAATATATTTGCAACTTCTTCGACAGTGTATGGCAAAATGCCCCATCGACTGACATCTGAAGCAGTAAGCACGTTACGCAGAAGCCTGTTAATCACCCATTCATTTAAGTCAGGTGTGTGGCAGCTGACAAACAATGCTGTTGGAAACGCCAACATAGAAAACATGCAGGGCACTAAGAACCAGGGTTGAGACACGGATCTAACATATCTTTGTGCAGATTAACAAAAACATAAACGTCCCAAATATCTTTCACCGTGTTTTGTTTCTCAGGACTGATCTGCAGCACAGCTCTCCCCGCTCGTTCGGTCGTCTTCCAGCCACCTCCTCATCCCTGCAGTTGCCCATTAAAATATAATAAAAGCATATAAGCCACTATAATATTTTTGTCTCTAGACATGTGGCACAGATATTTTATTTACTTTTCATTCTACCACGATATTTTGTCAGCTGGAAATGTGTAAAATGTAACGTTTGCTGTCCCTTCGTCTACTTGTGCAGCCTGCAATTATATAACTATTTCATATGTTAACAACGCTGATAGATTTTTTTTCACTGATATTTATCTTTGTTTATTGACAGCTAACAGATAAACACAACTGTGGTCAACGGGGGGGGGGGGGGGGGGGGGGGGGGTCTTCTTGCTCTGCAGCCTGGGGCTGGTGAGTGGCGGTGTGGGTGTAGGCACGTGACATCACTCTGCAATGGGTCTATAGGGAGCCTAAGCCTTCTCCCTTTCCGGTCGGCTCATGGGTCCCGGAAGAACGAAAAAATGAATGCAAGTCAACGGGGCGAAAAAGAGCTATGTTCTAATCTGCTTTGCCTTAGACCCTGGCTCACACACATGTTGTACTGCAATTTAAATGAAAACTAATGATGGGTGTTTTTACCATGCCTGTCACATACTATTTATCAGCTCATAAAAGTTCGTAATAAGCATGACTACAAATTATATAGCATGTCGCATATGTGACGTCACCACAGACGTACACCTCTAGTGTAGCTGCTATTTACCAAATGGCCAGATTTATGGTGGGTTTTTTTTCCTCCTGAAGGAAAGATTTAAAGTTTGCTAAACGTCCCCCTGTTTTTCTCAGTGACTGGTTTGATGACGTCACTTTCGTGATGCGCATGTGTAGTCCTGGACTTATTTTCACACAAAACGTTTCCCCCCTGAGGTGCGTTCTTGGTATCAAAATGCGTATTTAAAATTCACGGACATTATATGTGAAATCCATGGCACATAACGACCAGACGTGGAAAATCGAGTTTTTAGCCCCATTGACTTGCTTTCATTTTTTTTTCTTCTGGGGACCCATGGTCCAGAAGTAGATGGGTGTGACTTAGGCTCCCTATAGCATGCAAAGACAGTTTGAAAGACAGCTCTAGATTTCACCTCACTACTGAGCTCTGTCTATCGGCCGTGGCCAGACTACACATAAATATATATAAAAGGGCAGATCACGATACGTTGCCATGTTAAAATATGGAGGGCGGGACCCAATGATTGGGTCCCGGGCTCGGCCGGCTAGAGGGTGGGAGGCTGTGGGCGGGCCTGTGGGCTTGCCGCCGATATCTCCCGGGACTCTGCCAGCCGCTGATTGTGGCCCCCCCGGGGCGATCCTCTGTGCCTCTCGAGGGGAGCGGGGGCTTTTCTGGTCACAGTCTTCCTGGAGTTCCTGTGCTCTGAGACAGCTCCTGGATCTCTGGGACTTGGAGCTCCCTCCGTCTCCTGCACAACTTTAGGGGCCAGATCTGTGGCCCCTCATTAAAAGCAGATGCTTTGATGCTCCACCTGAGAGTAAATCTGTAAGGCTTGTCACCAGCATTCAGACATCAATTCTGTTTGCTTCACAGCCGGACAGGACACACACACACACACACACACACACACACACACACACACACACACACACACACACACACACACACGCACACATGCACACACACACAAAATAAAAAATAAAAAATAACTAAAAATATATAGCGCAATATTGTTTTTTGGATGGTAAAAAGTGCTGGGAAAAAAAATTACTATGGAAAAAGTGGGGGGGACATGTCCCCCCAAAAATATGTCCACATTACAGCATCAAAAATGTATGGTTGACTAAAGTAAAGATTATAAAATTTCCAAGACTGAGAATGAGTCAGAAAAAGACT